GGAGGAACGCTAGGGAAGGCAAAGGTTGCCTCTCCCCTAGAATTCTTTCACTGCCTAGTTCCAAGTACTCAGAGTGGCCCTTCACTTGAATGCCCCCCCCCCTAAACGATTTAAGCGCAGTTATTCGAAACAGCCCGCTCAAGAAATCCCTTCACCCCATTTTTTTCAAGCTTGCGTGCAAAGCTTCCATATGGATGCCCGCAGGGTTAAGGGCAACTGCAGGGTTAAGTCGTGAATATCAATCATTCTGCATGAGCTCTGGAGGTGGAGAGTAGGATAGCTCTTCGTCATATGTACCGCAATGATTAGTGCAGAATCATTTCAACGAATGCCCTTTGTTCCAACAGTAAACAAAGAGTCGTTCCAGAGAAGAAGTAAAAATTTATCCTCATCGTCTGGTGTTGCTTTTTCATCGTCTGGTGTTGAAGCGACATCGTATTGATGTCCTCAGTACAATCTTCTTAGGGGTTAGAAGTGGACGCTTCACAAGCACTTAATCGGGAGGTTGCGCGGCAACCAAGCGGGTTAGGTCGTCACATAATATCATGCAATGTATGTAAAAGCCGTAATAGATAGAAACACGCGCAGCATTCACTCCGTCAACGAGTTATACGGTAACTTGTATTGTACAGCGCAACCATTGGGAAACCAAGCGCTCATTCATATGCTAGTAGGTGCCCTGTCTGTGTACACAATTAAAGTAGAAACAGTTTTGATTACGTCATAAAACGAAGTGGGAATATTCATTACAGCTACGCGACACTCAGGACTATTGCACAGATTCGGAGTGTTTGACTGATGGCGGCCCTACGGCAATCGCAAGCAATTCGATATTGTTGTGGACAATGCTTTGGGGATTTCTTGCTTTAGTTCTGTTCTTTATGCGTCCAAATTCTATGCGAGGAAATTCGAATAGGAACGAAAAACCTGGACCGAGCAATGATCGCGTAAGTGGTTTATTTTTTTGAGTACAATGATTTCATGGCATAAGGCTGGTGTCAGAGCCCACGATCCATCGCGCGAATCGCAAAAATCGCAAGTGCCTCATTTGAACATTTGAAACACTGAATATGAAACAAGTAGAATCATGAACAGTCGTCATTCAACCATCACCATCAAGCAGAAATGGCGGCGGGATTGGAGAGCACCTTGCAGTATTGATCGGGCACTTGTGATTTCCGTCCGAATTCGCG